CCCCAAAACCCCAAAACCCCAAAACCCCAAAACCCCAAAACCCCAAAACCCCTGGAATACTACCAGGTAGAAATCTGGTTAAATTTATTTAATTTTGAGATTCTCCAGAAAAATGGATTTTCTTTATAGATTTCTTGGTGAATAGCACCCACTCAAGACAGAGTTATCATGATTTGATATTACGAAATAAATTTAAATAAGACTAAAATTTTGGAGACGTCTCAAAACTGGATTGCTGGTTAGATGAGCTGTTAAAAGAATCACTCTGACTAGTATTCAACTGCTTCTTCTTAGCAAGCATCGCCTCACGTTTTAATAAGCGGATCTTAAGTGCAGACTCTTGTTCCCGAATGTTCTGCTCAAGAGAACTAATGGTCTCACCTTCTTGCCTCTCCTCGTTATACTCTTCTACAACTTTCTTAGAGGCTTCAACTATTGGAAGGGAGTTGAGTTCTTCATTATTTTCATTTAAAAGTTCAGAATGAATTTTTCCTTTCTCCTGGTTTTTACATATCAGCTTTGGGCGGACCAAAGCACCGTCCTTCTTGTCTTTACAGACCTTAAAGCTTACTCCATGACGGTTTCGGCCATCATTCTTGTGATATACAAACTCATTAGAGTGATCGTCAACGTCAAATTGCGCGACGCCAGTTCAGGTAGCTCTCAGATTTGATCTCTCATCGGCTAAGGAGTTCAAATCCTTAAGTCAGAAGGTACTTCTGCCAAAAGGCTGATCATCTTCTTCCTCATCAGGATGATCCTCACCCTGATCGTTGAGATGCTCGAAGAGGATCGAGGAGTCCCTAGTCTCTGGACTCTCAGAAGATCTATTCTCTTCTGTTTTTCTCTCAGGCCTGGCAGTATAATTCTTAGGAGACATAGAAGGTGCTTTAGCACGCTTCTGAGGCTTCTCTTCCTGGATTGATTCCTCCTTAGAGCAGGCTGAAGCCTGTCCTTTCCCAGTGTGGATATCAATCATCTCAAGGATGTCAGGCCTGGTCAGTAAATTCTGCATCCTTAAGTTAAGGTCGATGTAAAGCTCACTCTCTACAGACTGATAATACTCAATAGCCTGAGAGTAGATCTGCAAAAGAGTCTGCATTTTCTTAAACTGAGCTTGAGGGGGTTTATTAGCAGCCATGCTGACCTCAAGTTCACATTCTTTGGCAAGAATGAGAGAGGCCATATCATTTCCTGTATTATCACCCATTTAGGTAGTTATTATTATTATAAATTTAGAATGGGGTTTTGGGGTTTTGGGGTTTTGGGGTTTTGGGGTTTTGGGG